CTGAGGACAAAGGGAGGGATGAAGAAGAGAGAGAATGGATGGGAGAAGAGAAGATGAAGCAGGACCCTGTGGTCAGCTTCGCTCCGTTTGCTCCTTTTTAGAGAAGAAAAAGGAGGAAGAGGAGGAGCAGCTTGTGTCAGAGTCTGCCTGCTTCTCCTTTAAAAACATTTCTTGTCTTCCTTTCACCTCCAGTCCCCCTCTGTTAACCATCCTCCTCCTATTCCTCTCTCCTCTGGAGGACCCATGTCAAATTTAACTTTTCATTGAAATGCCCCCCCCCAGTCCTTCATTTTCTCCCAGTTTGCCGTTCAGCCTTGTCTTGCCAGGTCCTCTTGTGGCTGACTGACAAAGGCGCCGTTAAAAAGCCGTGTGATCCTTCATTTTAGAGCCTGCCACGCTGGTCAGAGGATTAGAGCTGTTTAATGACGCTAATCCCACCCCTCCTCATCTGAATGTCTGTAGTGAGATCTCTCCCTTCACCCACCTCAGAAACATTTAACTGAATCACATTAATGCATCTGCTTTTGTCCAAACTGTATTAATTTCCACGTCTTACAGATATATTTTGTTCTGGTCTTATGAAATGATTTCTTTGAATGGTTTTTATCTTGATGCCATCTGACTGATGGAGTCACAACAGCTGAAGTTGAAAATGTGTCTGTGTTTGATTCAGCAGGGCTCATCTTTTTCCAGCTGCATTAAATCCTTGTTTCCTGTTGTGTTGGCAGCAGGGGGTGTCTGGAATGGCTTTTTGGAGATTGTAACGCTATCCCTTCTCAATGCATATTGGTTCATTTATTGGTTTTATTTTATAGCGAGTATGTAGTCTTCTGTTGCAGTAACTAATGTAGCAAGAAAAGAAGCAAAGGATGTACCAAACTATGACCCTAAAGCAAATAAACGTTGCAAACTATGACTCTAAAACCAAACAATGTACTGAACTGTGACTGCAACACCAAAGTACATACCAAACTTTGACCGTAAAACCAAAGTGCATGCCTAATCATCACCCTAAAACAATGGTATGTGTTCAACTTTGACCCTAAAACCAAAGTATGTACCAGACTGTGAATCTAAAGGCCTTGTCACATTACAATGTTTTAGACAGCTTATGACCATTTTAAAGACATCTACACTGAAGATGGAATTTAAAAACCAACTGGAAGCCTCTTTTAGGTGTGTACATACTTTAATTCTGCTGTCTGATCAAATATATACTTTTTATTAGTATTTGAGACATAAAATGTAATTGGATGGCATAAGTTGTCTAAAATGTTACAGTGTGACAGGGCCTTAAAATAAGTTATATATCAAATGGTGACTCAGACTTCAACAAACTTACCATGGTCTTAGCATCACTATTTAGTATGTATTAAGTAATCTTAAAACCAAAATACATGTTAAACTGTGAATCTAAAACGTGACGCAGGTATTCAAAGTTACCCTAAAACTGAGATACCTGCTAAGTACTAAAGTATGTAGTGAAACATGACTCGTTGCATGAACTGAACTGTGTGTGTGTGTGTGTGTGTGTGTGTGTGTGTGTGTGTGTGTGTGTGTGTGAGAACACATTTTTGCTACATTGTGGGGACCATTTTCTAGGAAGTTACAGCCTTGTGGGGACAGGGTTAGGTAGGTATGTTGCAGGTACTGTGGTTTGGGGTTTGGTTCAGGTATTTACTGGGGGGTTGGTTGGGTCTAAGGTAAAGAGTCAGGGTTAGGCTGTAGACCTGACTGAGACTGGAGTGGACTCTGGTCTGAAGAGGAACTCAGTCTTTGGTTGGGTTTCATATGTTTCTGCATGACTTGAAATTTAAACCCAGATTTTTCTGAAGGAGCTGAATGTGGAATAATTGTGTTCACTCACTCTTCTCCTGCTTAAACATTAGGCTTCACATTGATGTCTCTGTTTTTTTATTCAAAGAGGTTTTTCTTCTTGCTTCCAGTCAGATTTATAATTCAGTGTGTTGACAGTTGTTTTAACCCAGAGGCCCCACAGACTTGTATTTGTTCATGTCAGTGCTGTGTTTTCCCTGCCACCCGTTCATCACAAGAATTTCTTTTCTCTGCTTTTTCCTTGCATGCTGTAAAACACCGTAAACTTGGTCCACCTACATGATGGAGGAATAAGGTGGTCAGATTGGATGTGCTTTGGAGGGATTTGCACAGCTGCTCATGTGTCTTTGCATTGAGCAGTTATTGCACTCGTTATATTTGACGTTTGTCTTTCTCTGTCCTGATTTCCCCCCTTGATTGACTTTTGGTCTAGCTGATGTGGCTATCAGATAAAAGTAGAGAAAACAGGCTCTGCTCTCTTTACATTTCGTAGCTGAATGCTAAACGGCTTGAGTGTGTAGCTTCAGAGCACACAAAGAGGAACAGAACAATATCAAGCATTATTCAGCCTCCTCTTTTGTTGCCTCAAATTCATTGTCGAGTCTATAAAAAGGAGTTGTGGCCTTTTTGTCGCCTGTGTGCAGAGCTTCACAGGAAGGGGAAAAGGAAAAGAGCAATGCATAATCTTCTGTGTTTGACAGATGAAGGGAGTGAATATTGTTCTGCACATTTCCTAATCGTTCTCTGACGTTTCAATCTGCCAAGGCCCTAATGAAAATATGATGAGGCGGATCTATGGTCCTCAGGGATGGAAGGAGGGATGGAAGGAGGGATGGCTGATGAGGGAGGATGAAGGGAAAGAAAATACACTCTGTCCTTATTTCTGGGCTCTGTTGGGGATACATGGTTCTTGGAGCTTTCTATTTAGATGTTGCCACAACCAGTGTCTCTCTCTCTCTTCTGTTTTATTCTCTTTTTTATCTCTGCCATCCTCATTTTTCTTATGTATATTTATGTATGAATGTGAGTCTGTGTGACCAGGATAAATGTGTTTATTTTTTGTTTATATCCCCTTTTTTCATCTGAACTCCCACAGGCTGCCATCCAAGAAAGATGAAACTCCTTTTGAATCATTGCAGTTGGCCCTGTTTTACCTCCTGTCTAAGATCTCCTGCCTCTTTATTTACATCCTGCAGCTGTGTGGAAAACACCGTGTGTGTGTGTGTGTGTGTGTGTGTGTGTGTGTGTGTGTGTGTGTGTGTG